CCATTGCAGCCACAGTACAATCTGGCACTGCTTATATGCTAAGTGGATCTGTTTACATGGAATACTCAGCTACAGGCAGCCTGAGTCAGGCTGTTCAAGGCTATCATTCATAATGTAATGTGATCCTGTATTTAACACAGTATTCTAAATAAATATGTCCCTAAAATTAAATTCAGTTTCTAAAATGTTAAGCCTAAATTTGGCTTCAAACTCCAACTTGTATGTAGGAAAATTAGCAATTTGCTAAGTCTCCACTCAGTAAACTTCATTAGCTCAGTCTCTTCTGGGGTACAGACATGAATTACTGAACTGCTGTTCTACAAGTGATTTTGGAGCTAGCTGGGTATCTTCTCCAATAAGAATTGCAGACACATCTCAAAGCTTTAAGGGAGAGCTGGATTAGGATCAGGGTTAAAAGTAATGAGGAATAGTGGTATAAAATATTACAGCATTACACAGAAATACTTTGAGGATGATATTGCCTAAAAAATATTTATATGTACATGTATAGCTGTAGTTACACAGATAACAGTATAGTACTTACAACACAGAAACAGATCTCTTTGCTTTGGATGCTTAACACAGAAGTGGAGATGACTTTCATACAAAGGCATTTATTGATGACCTGTATGGTTTTAGTAACACTTCAGACAGTGAAAGTTGTTATATAATCGAGGTAAACTTCTATGATAGAAAACTATGGCTAGTGAAATAGAAAACATTTAACGTCCACAAGTCACAAGTTACAACTGCAAGAAAATATTGAAAAGAAAATAATACCTAGTTTTTGTTAACTAACTTGCCAACTACAAAGCTGGTGCCCATGGCACTAGTTCAGTAGAAAGATCACACAATGCTGTTCTCAGACATGATCTGCTGTGTCCCCATCCCTTGAGTGTCCTGCCACGTCTGTAGAGCTCGCTGGTGACACTGAGCTTGAGCTGGGCCGTAGCATTGAGGGTTTGTTAGTTCAGCCTTGGCTGGGAGGTCGCTGTGGAGCTGCACTCAGTGATTGATTGAACAGCCCTCACTTTGCACTAAGCTGAAGGGTTTCTTCTTTGTGTGTGTGTGTTTTTCCCCCCAGTCTGTTGCAAAACCAAAAATAAATATTTACATTTAACACTTAATATTTACAAATTCAGCAAGTCTCTGTTTTAGGCCTTCAACCACCCTCTCCCAAGGATTTGTTTCTCCTTTCAATGGCAAATATTTCCCTGGGAATACCTGCACTTTAGTACACTTAAAAAGGAGGTCAGGTTTATCAAAAGAAACCTTTGCTGAAGCTATTCAAACAAAACTAGAAAACTTTACTCTGTTCTCTGCTACTGTCACAGTTTCACATAGACAATGGATATCACCTAATAGTAATGCTGGCAAGGTAAAGGTCTTTTGGTCTTGTGCTTACTCTGCAACCTCTTGATTAACAATGTAAACATGAGCAAATTGTTAGGCCAAGAAGCCAGATGAATTCCTGTTCTACCTGTAATGATTTTGTTGGAATTTGGCTAACCAGTGTAGATGATACACTATGATTTAGGATGGGTGTACAATGGGCAAGCAAGCAGGGAGTAGAGCACAAAACATGAGTCATTGAAAGTACTATTGCACAATAAATAGAAATAGATATTATGCATGTACATGTCAAATATGTAATTTAGTAATTATTCAGCAGAAATAAAAGGTGTTCGTTCAAATAAATCAAATTGTGGTGGAATGAGGGTTGTAATGCCTGCATTTAGGGTTGTATGCTGTCCTCATTAGTACTGGCTTGGGTTCCTCACAACAGCAGAGTACAAGGACAGACTCAGTTTGTAGTATTTTACTTTGGTCATCACAGAAATGAAAAGCACTGTGGATACTCCTTTTAAAAACAACTGCATACTATTGCATATTAATAGTTTTAACTTTGTGGTTTTTAAGGTAATGGGAGTTTGTTCTTAAACATCTATAGCCAGTTTTCTTTTGATATTAAGAGGACTCAATCCAAAGTTCCCCAAAGATGGCAAAGTCATACAGAGCCAAATCTTTCTCCCTCCTTTGTTGGCACTTGGTATGTCCTTGCACCAAAGAATATTCTGCCCCTTAGTAGGGAGCACAGGGCCAAGGGTCCCCAGCAAAGGCCAGACTGTCCCCTCTGCCTGCCCCATGCACAGGTGGGCAGGGGAGTGTAAGGCTCAGCAATAACACATTTCCCAGCACCTGCCTTGGTTGCAGATACATGATAGAGGTGGTGTGGGGGTCCATCCTGTGGGCTCTTCCCTTAGCTCTCAGTTTGGGGTGCTGTGAAACTGCAGCATCTGGTTGCACACAGTAACTCTGTGCTCCAAGGAGTTTACTTTCTGCTGCTACCCAGTTAGAGTTGCTGCAGAGTTTTATCTCTGGGCTCTTTTCAGTATCTGCTGATTTGTTGGGTTTTTTGTTTGGTTTTTTGTTTTGTTTTGTTTGTTTTTTAAGGAGGTAGTATATTTGGCAGGTGATGATTGTTTCCTTACTGTGTAGGAGAACAAAAATTTCCCTGCTTTATTTAGGAAAGCTGTCCCCTCCACTTTCTTTGCCTATCAATTCAAGGTCTGTGCTGCCCTAAGAGCACACCAGGTGCAATCCCTTCCTACCTTTCCTCCAGTAACACAGCTGAATGTGCATGCTCCTGCTCTTTCACATGGCACAGGCAGATGCAGGTGGCACCGGTAGCTTAGGAAACACAGCCTCTTAAAGCTGAAGGATCTGGCATGAAATGATCAAGATGAGTAACCAATGGCTTTGATTTTTATGTCTTTGAGATGTCTCTTGTAGTAATGCAATCAATGTTTTGCAAATGAGCTCCGTGTTGTGGTGACTGGGGACACTGGGTTTCAGTGACCAAAGGGATGAGTGGCTGATGAGAAAATGTTTGCTTAGACCCTGTCAAGGAAGTTAGTGGCCTCCCAGATGGACAAGTTTGTGTTTCATTTATAGAGGAGTTTTGCCACAGATGAGGATCTTCAGATCCTTCAGGTGGCAGGGAAGTGTTGCTGTTGCTCTCTGTGACAACTTTTGAGATGTAAAGCAAATTTGTGGCTGCATCCAGCAGGTGGCAAGCACAGCATGCAGAATTATGGCTGGACAGAGATGCTTCTGCCAGGGGAAGCTCCTGATGCTGCTCAGCGTGTGCATGTGTGTCCATGAACAAAATACAGATAAATGGCAGTCTCTGCCAGTCCTTTGTGCCAGTGCCATTGATAATGCATGGGGTTATTGCCACATTCAATTTAAGCAAATGGCTGTCTCACATATAAGGAGATGAGCTAAATAGAAAGTATTCAGTATAACAATTAAAGTATGTTTTTAAATGGCATAGTTAAATGACGTTCAGGCTTCAACTGTCAAGATACTGGCTTGCAATTAAATTAACCTAAAGTTTTAATGAAGGAGAGTTTTTTTTTATACAGCTTTAGAAGTTGTGACTCGTCACAGCGCCTTGCAATGTATGAGTAGACACATTGTTCCCATTTTTGCAGCTGGAAGAACAAAGGCAAAACTGAAAAAAATTCCCTTAGTATAGGTGAATGAAAGAGTAGGAAGATTTCTAGACCTGGTTGTAGTCCCATTTTTTCCTTAAAAATTATTGAACTACAGAAATAACTGTTTTGTTGTGTTTTGATTTTGATCATCAGAAAATATGCATAATCCAACCACTCGCTACTTGAGACAAAGCCACATTATATGTATGATTTTGAAGATAATAAATACTGTAAATTCTCGAGGGGCATGTAATTTTCTACATGATAGATGTAAAGTTTTGGATTTTTTCTTAAGTTTTGTAGTGTCAAAGAGTACTTATGAACTCATTTATCTTTGAAGACAATAAATGGGTGTGAATCAAGCATAAATATTATCTGAAGCTCATTATTTGAGGTAAAAAGGACACATATGAGGATATCACTGGTGGAAACTTCCCACAGTGCTTGTCTCCTTTCCTCTTGATTTGTACTGAGATTTTGAGCCAGACTTTAGTTCTGATTTATACTAGTATAAATCTGAATTTGTTCCATATAAATAAAAAATGTTCTACAGGGAGAAAATACCCTGGGCATAATTTTAAATAAATGGAGAGAAATTCCATAAAAGCCAAGAGTAAAGTTTGATCTCGGATGTTTTGTGATGGGACTAAAAGTATTATTAGTTAAACTGATGCATAAGCATTGTCATATTTTTGCTTATCAGTATACGAGTTTACTAAATGTGCAGGAATTTGAATTTTTTAATTTTAGTCATACAGAGTATGGAGTCAACTCCCTCTGTATATCAAGTTCTTCAAAGTCAGGGTGGCTTTTTATGAGGAAAGGCTGAGTGAAACCCATTTCTGTGCATATACGTAGTTATTTTTTAACTACTAGAAAAATACCCACTGAGATATAAATGTACATTTCTGAAGCAATGTTTGAAATGTATGAGTAGGAATATAAATCTAAAAATATATTTATTCTATATTTAATAAATAAATCTGCATTTTATTGCATATATTATTATGAAAAAATTGCCATTAAAAAATAGGAGCATAAATCAGAATAAGACCAATTTCAAGGACCTTAAATTTCCATTTGAGTTTAAAATCGGGCCTCTATTTATAGCATATATTTGAAAATATATTATAAATATGATTATAGAACATTTATGTAATTAAAAATAAACCAACAAAACAAGAAACAAAACTGCACTTCTTCAACAGAATAGTTCACATATATGCAAGTCAGGTTCTTTGTATTTCATGTTATTTATACAAGCTTTTCCTTTTTAAACACCTGTGAACTTAAGTTAGGAGTTTTCCCTCCCCTTCTTTTGTAGTTCCAAGCAAACAGTGGGATGTGGCAGGAACTCTGACACACCTGTCCAAAACTTAGGCTGCTTTCAGTAAAGAAAAGTGAAATGAAAACGAAGCAGTCCTCTTTACAATGTAAGCTGTAAGGCCACTGCTGACCCTTTACAGTGTGATTTCTCTGAGGTGATCCAGTGTTGCTGTAATGAGCTGTGATGTTCAGGACCGCAGATGAATCTTGTTGTTCTTGGTGCTTCACACACGAGGTTGTTCAAAAGAAGAACTTTGTGCAATGCCTCAATCAGTGTCGAAGGGCCCAGCAGTCTTTTTGGTGTGCAAGCGGATATTTTCTGGTGGCCGATAGGAGAGGGAGCTCATTTTGGTTGTGAGGCTTGGATGTGTGCTGACGTTTGGCGGGATGTATTTTATTAGCTGAAGGAAGTATTTTTTAAAGTTTTTTCCAAAAAAAACATAAAAAAAGGGATTCAGACAGTTGTTAAAGTAAGCAATACAAATGGTGAAGGGCATAGCTGTATCCACTATATCGGTGATTTTGCAATCTGTTATTACGTGTAATTGAATCAACACATCCAGAAAAGTGAACACTTGATGAGGAATCCAGGAGAAGAAAAAGAAAAACACAATTGCTACAATCATCTTGAAGATATCATCATTTCTAGTCTTATTTTTTTGAATTTGATATGCCTTCTTCAGCGTCTTCCAAATTAAGGTGTAGCTCGTTAAGATGATCAGAAAAGGAACTAAAAAGCCCAGCAGATTTTTGGACAGGCCTAGCCCGACCCGGAGCGTGGTGTTGTTGCTCTCGTAGCGGAAGCCGCAGACCGTCATGTTGAGGTTCTCGGCGAAGAAGATGTTGCGGTGGATGATGACGGGCAGGCTGGCCACGCCGGCCAGCAGCCAGATGGCCACGCAGGTGCCGCGGGCCACGGACACCGTGCGGCGGATGCGCGACTGCACCGGGTGCACGATGGCCAGGTAGCGGTCGATGCTCAGGCACGTCAGCAGGAACACGCTGGCGTACAGGTTGAAGCTGATCCCCGCCGAGGCCAGCTTGCACAGACAGTTGCCAAAAGGCCACTGGTACTCCATGGCCGTGTAGGCTGCCCAGAGGGGCAGAGTTATTAGAAAACACAAGTCGGCCAGGGCCAGGTTGAGGAGAAAGATGCTGGCTACGGTTTTTAATTTCATGTAGCAGTAAATGACAATGACGACCAGGCTGTTCCCGAATATACCTATGATAAAGATGATGCTGTAAACGGTTGGAACCATAATGTAGATGTAGCTGTGCCGTCCTGAAACAGGACAGTCCACGTGGATTCTTTTAACAGTTTCTTCAGTAGAGTAATTTGGAATCATCTTGAACTCCTCAGCTGTAACCTAGTTTCAGGGAGAAAAGATGAAGCTCACACCTAGGAAGGGAATAGAGGAAGAAAACAGTATTTGTGACAGAAATTTAATTTCTAACAATTCTCAACTAAATGTCAAGTCTTTTTCAAGTCTAACACAATGTGTCAATGTCTTTGAATTTTAAAATAAGCCATCTTCAAGTGTTTTATCAACCAATTCGTATTTTAATACAGACTTTGCAGAGTAAAACAGAGGTAAGAATGTTAGGAGTAGGGTGAAAATTTTTAGATTATTTTTAACATAAATGAAATCTAAAAAACCTCTGTCAATTAACAAAGTTCCAAATTAAAATAATACTGTTAGTGAACATATGTCAAAAATCATAAGACAGGCTGAAAATAGCAGATAACTATAAATTCAGCAGAGTATTTAGATTATTTTCTTTCCATAAATAGGTGACATGTTTAATGAGGTAAGTTATTCAGATATCTCAGAAACTAAACTTAAGCACTCTGAATACTAATTAAGTATGTAAATACAAACTGCAATGAATTAAGAAAATAAGTGACTTTAGATTAGGTACTCATTTGTATCTCTGAGATTAATCACTAGAAATTTATTTATACATTGGTCTTAATTCTTTGAAAAATTTTTACATCACAGAGAAAGATGAAAACACACAGTCTAGTATTCTGTTGTACCAAAAATACTTTAAATATTCAGAGGTTACTTAGCTCCCCATCTGGCTTGGAAAGATGGCATTTAACTACTAGTGAGGGGAAGAAAATCTGAAAATCCAGACATGTCCAGATCTGTTGTACATTAATTTACTGTACAAAGAGTTTACGAAGGGTGCAAGGGGGAACATATTACTTTTTCAGTTGCTGGCAAAATTTATGTATCTAAGAGTTGAGGGTGAATTTCTGGATCATGTTAAGTGTTCAGCAAGGGTATGAAATCTCCTTTAAAGGGCACCTGTTTGGTTTGCCAAGGCCTGTGTGTTTTGTAAGAATAATTTCTTTATTAATGACTGATTACTTTAGAAAGCAGGTAATACAGTGTAAGTGACTCTAATACTCATTAGTTTTTGGAGTCTAAAAACAGATAGTCTTCCCTGAATAATAATGGATGTTTAAAAAAAAATTATAGTTATTATGGCAGAGTAGTGTTTATTGCTGCTTGCAGGATCCAGCTATAAGGCAAACCTAACTTGTGCTGCTTAAAACAAAGATTAACTGAAATACTTTGGCTTCAAAACCAAAACAAAGCAAACCCCAAATGGCAGAGAAACCCTTTATAAGTGGAAGACCCACCCTAAGTCCCTGGGCAGTACAGATGCACTCAGAAAGCAGAGATGCCCATCATTACAGACACACCAGTGATGGCACAGCTGCAGCTGCTCATTATTTGAGTGCTTCTGCACTGGTGTTCCTTTTGGGTTCAGAATGCCACCGAGTTTAGTGTTTGACTCCTCTTGCTGGAAGACCAATCTTTTTACAAATGACTATATTTTTAATAGGGAAAGTGAGGCACACTTTCCCTATTAAAAATACTTGAGCAAAACCCACACAGGAAGTCTGAAGGAGCCAGGAACTGAACCCAGAATATGGGTTGCAGGCAGTGTCTTGTGAGCAAGGGCACCCTTTGGCTCTTGGCCTTTTGAAGACTTGTTATTTCTCTATCTTAGCTCATGTTGCATTCATAACCTGATTAATTTCTGAAAAGTTATCAGGGTAATGTCAAGATTTAGGTAACTGATAGGTAATAATTCTATCAAGTTGGGGGCATCTATTAAAATGCAGCTAATAGACACTTTGTCAAGATGCGCCATGCAACACCTCCCAGTCCCTTCAATTCATTCTGTGTATTAGTCTTGTTGCTTCAGTTGGTATGGATGTCTTAAAATGGCATCAGCTATTTTTGCCATGTTTAAGAAATTAACAAGCCAAGCAAATAGAGCTAACACAAAGAAAGGTTTGCTATTCTGATCACATGTGCCACTCTAGTACATCCTGAGCAAAACCTGGCTTTTAAACTGTGCCAAATCTCAAATACAAGGTGTTTGGCTCTGTGGAAGGTCAGCCTATCCCTGGGACAGGGAAACCACACTAGAAAGATTTCAAGATAAATCCTTTTATCTCATCCATGGTTATGAAAGTAACTTTGACAGTGATTGATATGTTCTGCAACATCAAGGTCTGGCAACATTTGCCCTGTCCCAGCTACAGGCTGGTGCAGCATGGTCACTTATAGTTTTGCTCCCTTACATACCCAGTAAAATGACAGCCCAGAACTTTGCAGTAAGAATCTGGAGTGAAGTTTCTGCCTGGGAGATCACCTGTGCAAGTTTGACTGGCAATAATATGGGCCAGGCACGGGGCAGTACCTTTCTCAGTGACAAGAGTCACCAGTCCCTGGTACCATTTGGTACAATTTGGCTCCGTGTGTACTGAGTGAGAGATTCAGTGTTTAAGGCAAATGCAGCTGAGGGTGAATATTCCCTTTTGGTGGGGTTGATTCTGTGCAATAGTAGATGCCAAAGCAATTTTCCCATGGTCTCCTCACAAACCCTTTCATTGTACTGCATTGTGTTCTTTTGCTTCCAATTTCCCTTTTCTACCCACATGGTGACCTGTACTGTTTCATGTCTGCAGTAGCTTTAGCTGATACTAATTAATAGCATATGTTCTTTCAAGAAAGAGCAACAGTAATTCTATTGCATTTTCAGAAATGTGTTAAAATAAAAAATGATTCGGTTGAGAATAATTGTTTGGCACTCTGAGGTATTGAATTGCCTGAGCATATTCTGGAGTGCTTGGGAAATAAGAAAAGGCAGAACAATTCCCATGAAGAATCAGGAATTTTGTCAAGAAATAGTATTATACTCAATCTTCCTTTGTAAGACTGTATAATCCTTCTGGAGGTAAAAAGTTTTGATGTAACACTGAAGTCAGTGAAATTGTGCAAATGATGTATCTGGTATGCTACCACTTTTAAATTATACTAAGGAATTACAATCAATAATTAAAATAAATCCATCAGTATTTTCAGTAAATGACAAGGAAACAGAAATATGTAATGTGGTTGCTTTTGGGTAAACACATATGGATTGCCATCTGGGTATCTGAAAACTGTCTGAATGAACTGAACTGTGAGAATGAACCTCGTAGGAGCTGTACAAATGAAGCACACTAAGGAAGGCACTGCTAATCCCAAATGGAATTTTTAAATTTCTTGGGAATTGTAAACTTTCAGAGCTAGCCTGAGGTGGATCAGCTTCCTTGAGCACAACTGTAGCTTCAGAGCATTAGGAGAACTTCAAAGTTGGAGAAGGTAATTTTTTTTGGAAGGCATGGGCCCAGGACTGTGCTGAGCAGTGTGAGAGGGCCACTGCAGCAGTGAGTTCCTCACAGGCAGTGATTTCTTTCCCATACCACCTTCAGTTTTTCCTGTTATTCTCACTTGCCACAGTTCATCTACTTGTCCCAGGATCACGGTTGCACACATGCAAAGCAGATGCTGGCCACTTAAATGTGTACATTAAGTTGTGCACATTGATAATTCCATGTAAAGCACCTCAAATGACCTGTGTTAACATAATGATAATTGGATCACTTTAAGGCTGATACACAAGGTGCTTTTTCTAACAGGATTGAATTGTGACTGTGAATGGTGTGGTGGGCATCAATTTCCAACAAATTATCTGGTGAGCAGCAAGTACCTCTTCTGAGGTCAAACTTACCTCTTTGACCTTTTATCTTTTTTAATTACAATGATTACAATAAGTCACTGATAATGAAATTCTTCAGACTGCTCAACCAACTATTATTTACCACTCCATTCATTGCTTCTGTTGGGTGAACATGCATCCTAATTAAACTGTCTGTGGAAAAAAGGAATGCTGGGCTCATGCAAGGTAAATAGCACTTTGCCTACTGAAAGATAAGATAGCAGAGACTGTGACTTTCTGTGAGAGCTTTATCAACTAAAAACAGGTAAGCAGATGTCACAAGTCAGATTTTGAACAAAAATGTACTTAATATTTGCTTTGACAAAGACTAAATAAACTGAGGCTGACCAATCCTGCCACAGCTCATCCACCTTATCACTAGATAATGGGCACTTTCCTTCTGACAGTGGGTGGGTTATTTGCTTTTCTTACAAATGACAAGCTAGTTCCTTATTTAAGAGGATACTGCATTCTATTTTTATGTAAAATTTTTGCACAGGGAGAATATACAATGAAAAATGTTTGGAACAATATGTTCAGTATATTAGCTATATTTATTTCTTTCTGGTGGCATAAACTTTCCTTTATCTTAAGAATTTAGCTCCCCCCTTTCCCAATTTATTCTAACTGCTGAGAAAGTAATGACACTTCCACATGCTTTATTCCAAAGGCTTTTGGGGTCTTTTTCTATGCCATAGAGTAACCCTTTCTATCCTTATGGCCTTAGTGAATAGAGCTCCTTCTATTTCACACCTACACTTCAGCACCTTCTGTGCTTTCCTGGAGTTCCTGAGCAGTACCATCGTGAAGCTATAGATTTACATTTCTCCTGGCTTTGATTTCTTCAGCTAGTTCCAATAGTCTGTATTTCCCACTGATGGCTTTCCTAAATATCTTTAATCCAGAGTTGATAGCTGAATTGTGAAGGGAAAGAGAAATACAAACAAGGGTACATAATTCCAACTGTGGGGCCATTACAGTGGGCTCTTGTCATCACTGCAGGTACCTTCCCCAGAGGTCAGCATCTGACGTTATGTTAAATGCCAATAAATCAAAATACTACTGGAAAGGAGCTGTGATAGGTAGTACAGCACCAGAGAGTGGCTGTACATCAGCTCACAAACACCAAAAACACAAAGCAAACCTCAGCAGACCTGTGCCAGCAGCTGTCAAGCTGCTCTGCAATTGTGGATCAGGAGGTGGTCTGACATAAGAACAAACAGAACTTGCAGGACCTTGTACTGTAGCATTTTCTTTTAACAGCTGTGTAGCTGAGGCA